AGTCTAATATATATAAAGCTAGTTAAGTATTAGAAGAGTAGCTAGATCTAGAGAGTATTAGAAAGGTACTAATTTCTAAAAAGACTGTACTAAGCATTAAAATAGTAATAAATATAGCTTATAGTAAGATTTATAAAATAGATAAGAGTAAAGATAAGAATAATAGTTTAGAAAAGAAAGATAAAGAGAATATAGATACAGGCGCTTTAGAATATAATAATTAAACTACTAAACTCTAGTAAAAACTATTATTACTAGATTTATTTATTCTAGTAAGCTCTAGTAAAGAAGATTAGTAATAGAATAGAATTTAATATTTAATAAGAGCTAAGTAGAGTTAAAGAATAAGTATAGTAAAAGTATAAGCTAACTATAGAGAAAAGTGTAATAGAAAACTAGAAATTAGAAAAGATAGTATAAAAGTACTCTATATATATAGTTAGATAAAATAGATATAATAATCTATATAATTAAGATAACTTATAAAAAAAAACTATATATATTATTCTTCTAATACTTTATTATAGTAGATTAAGTTATTCTCTAGAAATATAGTATACTTACTCTTAGTCTTCTATAGAGTAAAACGTAATATAATTATCTTAGTAAAACTATTAGTGTTCTATAATCTTATACGCTAGATAGACTAGCGTTAGATAATATAAATAAGAAATTAATATATATACTTTAATAATATAGATAGAAATACTTATAGTTAAAATAAAGTAAAAGAAATATACTAACGTATATAATAATATAGTAATAAAAGTTAGATAACCTATACTAGTAAAGTAGAAACTAAAGAAATATAAACTTTATAGATATTATAAAAGTATAGATTAGAAAACTAGTAAAGATAGCGTAGAAACTTAAGTAAGGTAATAGTATAGGCGTAGTAAGAGTATAAATAAAGTAACTAGTATAAGTATTATAATAATATAAATAAAGTAACTTATATAGATATTATAATAATATAAATAGAGTAATCTACGTAGCGTTATATAGATCTAAAAAATAAAATCTACTTATTTAATATAGTAGCGTTAATAAGAAAAATAATAAATATACTATATATAGATAAACTATAAAGTATTATAAGTATTAATTTATTACACTAAGATAAGATATATCTTAAGTAGATAGAAGTAACCTATAATACCTAGTATAAGCTTACTATAGTAGGTAGTAGGCGTAATATAAGCGTACGCTATAGTAATAATAACACTAAAACTAGTAATTAGTAAATAGAAGTACTAGATATTATATAGTAAGCCTACCTATTATAAAGTAAATATAAAAGTACTAACACTAAAGAGTAGATAGAAAGATAATATATATAGACTTAGTATTCTTAATATACTATAAAATATTTATATAGTCTACTTAGAGTTATATATAAACTTTAACCTTCTATATTAGTATAACTCTAATAATAATATATAATAGTATATAGAGCGTAGTAAGTATTAAGAAAAAGAGTATATATAATTATAATACTACTATTAAAATCTAAAAATATATTTTAATAGTTAAGTATAAATAATTATAGCTATAAAGAATAAAGAAACGTAGTAGGTAGCTAGTGTAGATACTAGTAATTTATTAGCAAAAGTAAAGAATCTAACTCTAATTCTTTATATAATAAAGTTAGAATTATTAGTTTACTAATAAACTATAGCTATAGACTCTAAATAGTATTCTCTTTACTACTATTAATATATACTATAATAAATAACTATAATATCTTTTATAAATAGACTATCTATATAAATAGCTAGTTTTATAATTATCTAAGAATATTTCTAATAATTATATAATAACTTAATCTTAACTTAATCTATTTTAAGATAGCTTTAACTATACTTATCTATACTATATTCTTTTAGGTTAGGTTAAGATTAGGTTAGAGCTATTACTAATATAATCTAACCTTAACTAGACCTATACCTATTTGCTAGCGTGCTTTTAGTCTAAATATAAAAGAATATTAAGTCTAGTTTTAGAGTATACGTACTATATTTTTTAGAATATAGACTCTAAATTCTAAAACTTAATATACTTAGCGGAGAGTTAGGTAGCAGAGTAGGTAGTAGAAGCGGTTAAGGTCCGAGAAGTGCGTCGCGATGCCGTGCGAGTGGACCATGCGACGCTCCCGTGACGCCAGGCCTACCGCCCGGTAGACGGTACCCCCAGGCTTCTTGTCTACCTGTATGCGCTGCGCTTCGAGTGGACGTTCGGTGCATGCAAGTTCCAACGCCACCTAGACCTCTCCATATCGTCCTAGACGTGTCCATGTCGCCCATCGCACACGCGCCCCGCCGCTGCCGTTAGTGTGCGTGTTCCCCATGTGCGACGCACTCTTGCACATCCCGCGCATATCCATACCGTCCTCCAGGCTTTCACGTTATGGGAGTACCGCTGTCTGAGCGCTTGCACTGCCCGGGCACGCGCATGGCGGGAGGCGGAGGCTCAACGATGGAGGCTACGCAGGTATGGATCGTGCCGAGCTCGATGGTTCGGTAGATGCGCTTCTCAGCCAAACGTCGCAGCGCGCAACTCTTCCGTTCCAGTGCGCATAGTGAATATCGACGAAGGTATGGCAGTATAGTGTGGAGGCGCGATGTTCTCGTGTAGGTGTGGGGGGGTGTCAAGAGGCGGTACGTTTCGCCGCGGGGAAGCCGCCAAAGACGTCGCGCTAGCGCGTCAGCATTCACCTGGGCAATGTCACGCACTTGGACGCGCGCTTCCTTATATAGTCTATACATTGCAAAACGATTGTTCAGATATACTCTGCCGCCAAACGCGATACTAAATGACACTCCAAGACGCCTCTACTGCGATACAAATCCCGCCCAAGAACCATCCATCGCCTCCCCCCAAAATGTCTAGGGTTTACCGTCCGCATTCTTGTAGCAAGGGAACCAGCAGTTGAAGCTCTGCGTATTCGGTGCACTGCCATCAACAACCTTGCAGAAGCGCAAGGGTTGCGCAGTCGGGTCCGTATCATCGTTCCCAGTCCATGGACCACGACCGTTGCCCTTCATATCCGAGTCCCAATCGAAGTAGTTGACGCCCTTTTGGACTGGCGAGTACTCAAATTCCAGCTTGGTACCAAAGTTGCCGGTGCGCTTTACTCGTAGGTCGTTGGGGAGACCCTGTAGGTCGCACGAGTCGTTGTTGTTGGGCAAGTTGCACTGAGCTGGCGTCGATTCCTTGTTCTCCCAGTCACTGAGCTTGATGTCCTTGATCGTCGCATCGCCGTCGCGCGTGAATTCGACGCCGCATTGGTAAAGCTCCGCGTAGGCAGTGTCAGTCAATATGTACTTGTTGTCGTCGCCATTGCGGTTGTAGTAACTGCTGAGCTTGCCGGTAGCGAACGTCTTCTCCATGAGCTCGAATTGCAGGCCGTCGGAACCGCAGACACCCCTTGGGTTTGGGTTTGGCTGACAGAATGCGAGTTTGCTCTGATCAGCACCAGTGATGTCAAAGTCCACGTCGAAGAAGTCGTCGCGGACCATACCGTTGCTTGTTACAATGCGACCCAGCTTGCGACCGATGTCTTGATTCTCGTCAGCTACCATGCAGCGTAGACTGTTTGGCGCCAGTCGGTTCGGATCGCCGAATGGTAACTGCTGAGACATTGCAGGTGGCCATTCATCACAATCGTATTCACCCGGACCTGCTGTCTTGTCGCTGAACTTCTGGCTGAAGGGGAACTCGCCACAAGGGCTTTTGCCTCCAGCAGAGCACCCAGATGCCTGTCGGTTGTGTGCTTTCTCCAACTCGTTGCCCTTGGTGGGCCCGACGTACACGATTCTGCTTGGATTCTGGATACCGGCGGCTGGGGCCTACCGCAGACACAAATCAGTTCGAGTTCAAAGAGAGTGAGCTGGCAAACACTAACCACGCAATTGATGTAGTAACAAGCATTGTTGCAAGCACCCTCTCCACCCTTACAATTTACGGTCTGTTTGCCGAAATCTGTCCCAGCGCGCTTCACGAACATTCTGTCTGCCCTTCCGGGTGCTACTATGTCGGGCATGTTGTTGCCCTGCTCCAAGCCCATCGAAGCCTGGATTAGCAGAGAGATAGCCACGATGTAACGCATGTTGGGCAACGGAACGGACTTGTTTGACGAGTAACGTATTGGAAAGTTCGGGAGGAAGTCAAAAGCGCAAACTGCGTTCAGGATGCGCGGAAGAAGAAGACTGATAACGGAGAGAGCTATCAAGCTGGAGAAATGTGCTGGTAGTAGAGAAACATGAGTAGGATGTTGCAACCTCTTTTATACCAATGCGAGACCACGTCTACCTCAGCGCATTCTACCATCATGGTCATGACTTCGATCCTGGCGGCTGTATCTTGGGGGCTGCATAATACGTTCCCCACAAGAAAACATACTCTCGTGGTGCTCATACTCGACATAGCACCCAGGCGTCCTTCAGCGTAGACTCGCAAGTCAAAGTCTGACAGGCCAAACAGCCCCGGCATGTCCTGAGTGCGAAGAACGCCTGACTACTTCGAGCGATACGGCCACATGCGTAGGTAATCTTAGTATCTAGAAAAGTGGGATATCGGGGGGCCAGGAGCCGGGCGATGGTATGCGTAGTCAGCGTGTACGAGGCAGTGATCGTGGGGCTGTCTACGTTGCCGCCAACAATGTGCGACAAGGCTGAGTACATGTAACTCGAAAAAGATCGCGATACCTACACAACCATGCTCTTGATGCAGCCATGATTCGCTGCGTTGGACGTTCTGGAGTTTCGAGATCCACATCTGAGCTTACGGTGCAGCTGCAGGTCAAGCATAAGGTGCGGCGCAGCTGCGCAGCGGGGGGCCTCGCGTAGGCATCCGCTCCGCCTCACTGCCTGCACCTGCGAACGCATGTGACGTCAGTGAATAGTAAGACCATTAAGGCCGCGACTTCGTCGCAACAATAACTCCGCAGACTTTGTAGCTTCCTGACTTTCAAATAATAACCACAACCTTGCACAAGCAACATGTCTGACCCTCCCTACGCGCTCTTCGTCCTCGACAAGAACATCACCAACGAGGTCAGCACCGCTGCATCTATTGACCATGTGCACGATAGTAACAATCACAGTATCTCGACTCCGTCCTTGAGCGCGCCCACCATGGCGACGGTGGTGTGGACTGGAACTTCTGGGTCGCGACCGGTTCTTATGAAGACCTACCCGCATGCCCCGAAGTCCACAAGCCCTCTCCAGACACCGGCACCCAGCCCCCCGTCGCATCCTCCTTCGTCTCGCCCTGGCTCGGCAAGACGCCCGAAGATTGCGCAAAGTGGTTGCTGGCGATGCCGCGCACCCAAGATACGGATGAGAAGAAGTTTAGGGTTGACACGCCTGTGAGCGACCTGTACTTTGTTTTCCTCAACGAATTCTCCAAAAACGAAGATCTCGTCTTCGTCGCGCGCGTTGTCGAGGAAGATGGAAAAGAGATGAGAGTTGAGTATTTTCCGCAGTCGGCGGACAAAGTACAGAAACAGATGTGGACGATTTTGCAGTTCGACGAGAGAGCGATCAACTACCAGCGCAGGCAGTTCAGCAACGGGGAGCCAGATCGAAGTCAGTACAAAGCGCCCAAGGACTAGAGGTGTATAGTAGTAAACTCTCGCGCGGATGAAAGAGACGGTTATGGCATACTTGATACTTGATGGCAACGGTAGATGATTTCCTCTCTCTTTTTCTATTTATGAGTCGCCCTTCATATCGATTCTCAATTCCGTCGTTCCACATGAAAGCACAATTTGTCCATTGCGCAAGCTCCTCCCTACCACAGTGGCGCCAACTGGCAACTGTAGTGTAGCTGCCGTACCAGTCGGTATAACAACATCGAAAGCAACGCTCGTGCCGCTCAACGTCCACGCCACCTTGATTGGTCCGTTAGGCGTTGGTACCGTCCCGGTGACTTCAGACTGGTTCAAGAACCCTATCATGGGAGTGATAAGAACCGTTTCGTACCCGGGAGAGGTTGAAGCGACTCCAAGAAGGTACTCTGGCAGTACATACGTCGGAGCTGCACCCCACGGATGCGCTAAGCTAGTGAAGAGATCGATGCCAGGAGAACCATCGGGCTTTACGTATTCCCAGCTCGCGCCAGAGTAATACTCGTTCTTGTTGACCATGCTACCCCACAGGTTGTCGAGCAGATGCTTGATGGCAGGTGTGCTGTCCACTCCGAAGTCGCGCCTTGACTTGAATAGAGCTTCCAACAGAAAGCCTGATGGATTGGGAGCAAGTTGGTAGTCGTCTGTCTCCACGTCACTCGAGATGGTCTTGTAGCCTACTGCGAAACGAAGCTCCTCAAGCTTCGCAATAGAAGATGCTGCTTGGGTATCGTTGGCCGCACCAGATAGGATTGCCCAGGCGATCCCGGTCAAGGAGAAGTTACCTCGATCGGTGGTTGAGAGTGAGTATGTTCCGAGCTGATCATTCCATAGCTCGCGATTGAGCGCCTCGCGCAACTTGCTTGCCGTTTGGGAATAGTTTATCGAAGCCTCTTCGTCGCCCATCGCAAGCGCAAGTGGCGCGATCTCCTCAAGCATGTAAGCGAAGAGACCGGTCGTTGCACTACCGTTGGCTGGCCCCAGGAAGCTGAATGGCGATGGCACCTCCGGAGAACCTCCAATGAGACCAGATGAGGGATCAATAAAAGCCAATCTCGCGGTCGCAAGTTTCTTGATCTGATCCCAGTGAGGTTTCAGCCCGTCGCGGTCTCCGGTGTAGCGGAAGTATTGGCCGATTCCCGCCAAGAATAGGTCTTGGTAGTCCACCAACCCAGCGTAGTTTGCGATATTTGCTTCCTTGTACTGGGGGCGGGCTCCAAGATTCGTAGAGATTTGGGTAAAGCCGGCGTACGGGCCATCATCAAGCTGAAAGCTTAGCGCGTATATGATGGTGCCCAAGAGGTAGTCAAATCGAGCAGATGAAGCTGCGACAACACGCACTGTGTGGTAGAAGTCTCCTGTCCAGACTAGCCGATCCCGTTTGGCGCCATCCAAACAGACTGAGTGTTCTAAGGGTGCGACCTGATACTCGGCCAAGGTATCTTCGCTCGTCAGGGGATTGCGATACATGGTAGTGCCGTTTCCAGCAGTGACAGTTACGTCTTTGTAATACGCGATCTGGTCCTGCATGCCTCCGAAGCCCCATGTACCTTCGTATCGAGAGGGAGTGCCAAAGTTCCCGGGGGGTGCAGGTGGAGGTAGAGGTATGAACGCAATTTCGGTCCCATTTACGCTCACCCGATATCCAGTCTCCTCAATTGATGTGCGGACGCGATACCACATGTTATCCTTGATGGTTGTGTTGATAGTGAAATACTGGGCCTCTGGCACGGGTAGTGTGCTCTGGTTTACTAGACTCCATCCACTAGTGAATGCCAGCGTGTTTGGAGGCAAGAGGGTTCGGTTGGTGTTTGCGAACGTGTTTCTCTCGGGGTATTCGGACGTAAGCACAAAGTAGGGCCCAATTGGCGGCATTGCACTTGCTACTCTCCAGCCAGCGCCGCCACGGGCGATCTTGACGTCAAATTCTAGCGTGTAATTGACTGCTTCAACCCCTAGAGAAGATTGCGCACTGGTTTGGCCCCGTATATATGCTCCGTCTTCTGTGATTTCCCACGTGGACGGCGCATTACCGGCATCTACACATGCTACTTGAGCGACGCGACCTCCGAGGTCCAGGACGCGATTCAAACTCTTATCGGATGTTTGTAAGCGGCCTGGAAGCATTTCAGCGTCTAAGTTAGAGCTTGTCGCGCGAAATCCTAGATGATCTATAGTGATGGAGCCATTCGTAATTAATCGTGCGGTCTGCCATCGCTGGCCTCCTTGAACGAAGAAGCTCTCGATGTATCCTGTTTCCGTGACGTTGAAAGTTTCTACTCGGAAAGAGTTGGACAGTCCGTTCGAGAATGTCCAAGGCCCGTCCGAGAAGGGCTCTTCCACGCCACGGTATTCTTCGCTGTACTTTACTTCGATCTGCACCGTTCCAGAAATTGCTGAAACGTGGAAGAACGGGAAGCCGGCTACCTCAGTGCCGTAGTCGAGTGTGACGGGTGGGCTAGCTGGCGACAGGATCAGGGTCTCATTCGTCCACGGCTTCAAGCCCGATGACGAGGGCGCCAGTTGCTGTAGGTGTGATTGAGGTGCAATCGAGCCATATTCCACAAAGCTATCATTGTGAGTGAGCGGTCTTTTGTATGTATTTCTAGAGGCTTACGCAGTCGTCAACGGTTGGACAAGAATTGTGATAATTGCAAGACGCTGGAGAAGATTCATCGCTGCTTCCGTGCGAGGGGATCTCGACAGGGCTTTCGTTGGCAGTGCGGCCGGACCATGACTATAACCAGCGGTCGTCCGTACAACAACAACTAATGGTCGGAAGGTGGAGAAGGAATAGCCGATGAAATTGTGACTCTCGGTGCAAATGTAACCGATGCGATGCAGCTTCGGTAGTTATTTGCTTTCCATTGGCCAGTTCAGTCGGAGCGTTCTTGAAACTAAGGGTTCTTTGGGCAGCAGGGTACCCCGCACGGGGACTTCCCCACAAACCATCGTATCTCGTATCTCGTATCGTGCAGTCATCGTACGGGGAAGTTTTTCCAGTTTCCGTCGTAAGGTGCAGCCTGGATGATGCTCATTTAGCTTCGGAGCAATAGCTGTAACTACGTTGACGTTATTGCCATGGTGCTACGACGCTGCGCTCTTCGCGAACGTTGTGAAATCTTCTCTCAGCATTATTCGAAGGATTGTGGCTGCCCTCGCAGACTGCGCGACAGCATCTTCAACGGCTTGCACGTCGCTCATACTAATCTGCAACGTCCCGGACAAGAGCTCTTTAGTGATGTCATCTCCTGTCGTGACTGTCATCTTCTTCGTACCCGTGATACCTAAGTCGACCTTCGTGGTAGTCGCCCACGGCGTGCTGTACCACAACCATTTCTTCCCGCTGCATGGCACCCAGTACCGCCCGCTAATGTTGTAACCCTCGTTCGCTGCGCCTTTGGGCCGGAAGTTGGAAGGTAAGGTCGTCTCGGGGTCCGGGACTTGTTCGTCAGCGATGCGACCGGAGAGCACGCGACATGACGGTATCAGTCTTATCGCGCCGGAGACACTAACAGCCAAAATACATGAATCGTAAAGATCTATCCCAGCCAGGATCGAGTCCATGAGCCATGCGACACTTGAGAGTAAAGTGTCACCAATGACGCCGACCACAGTGACGCCCAGCTCCGATCCTGAATCTGCGCGCGTTGGAAGCTCGAAGTAGTCTGTGTACTCCACATTGGCGTCTCTCAAGAGCCTCCTAATAATCACGGGATCTTGTGCGTCGTTCGCATAGCTAAGCACGCCGCGGGGGTGGTTCAGAATCTGGTGCTTCGACACCCCAACCGCCAGTCCGAGTAGCCGCAAACTTAACTCGGGTGGCCGGTTCTCGTCCGTTATGTTCGGTGTAATGATGTGTTTCATGTCGTCTACCTGCTGTGCGAGGTGAAAGAAGATCGATCGAAGCGCAAGCCAGATGACCTGGAAACCAAGCCAGATCCGGAAACAAACGGCCGGCTCATTCGAAAGAACGGCGCATGTGCCGAGAAGGGAAGTAATGCAAACGGCGGCGCCTATAATCCAGAACATCTGCCACGCGCGACCTCTGCGAAGGTTGACAGGTACCCCGAGGAGAATCCTGCGCTCTCCCCCGATCACTTGCGGTGTAGGCAGCGACCCAGAGACGACATCAAAATGTCTTGACTGCTCGCCAGGTGTTGTAGCTCTTCCGACGTGAAAGAACTGCAACGCGATCGCCGAGAAGAAGGTGTACGCCCAGATGACTCCAGTAACCAGGAAGACGTGTCGAGAGCCGAAGTGGTAGAGCGGATACATCTCTACGACCTTGAGCAAGGTTGCAAACGTAATTATCCAGTCGTTTCTGGTCTGTGAGCGTTGTACAATCTCCCAGTAATGATCTCGCATGTAGACGTGAGCTTGTAGATGCTCCCCAGGTTGCATTACTGCACAAGATCGCAACGGGCCGGCCGTCCATTCATCGAAAGCGTAAACATCTTCGAAATCTTCGCTCCCAGCGGTTATCAAAGTAGAACCTTCGCTGGTCTGAAGTCGATTAGACATGTCCTCGTATGTGCTTCTTAATCTTGACTTACCTTGGTCCACTTCACCGTCACTCCAACAGCACTGCTAGTGACTACGCGACTGTTTGCCTTCCTACTCAGACTCATGCAACACCCAATAGCCTTATCAGAGCCACTGGTTCTCACACCAACGGTATCTCGAAGCCATCCTGGTGTGCAGGCGGATATGCATGCTTTGACGATGAAGATCGACCCAAAGGAGCTCAGAGCCGCCCATGGCAAACCGCAAGCGCCGCGATTCCCTAGAGCAATCAGTTCAGCAGTCGAGCCCCCGATCACAGCAGTCAGAGCCGCGATCTCGACCAGACCGCCGCTGAAGTTCACCTCCTCTCCTTCGTCTAGGCTGCTAGCGCATACATGGGACATGATGGCGACAGTGGGTGGTTGTCTTGCGCTGCGGAATGGAAATGAGGCGATGCGACGCTTTTATGATCCAGCTGG